ATCTGATATTCACTTCCAGAAGACCAAGATTTAATGTTTAATTCTTCATGCTAACTTTCTCGTTAACCTACGACATCCTCTGTAAACTATAACGTGCAAACAAAAAGTTTTATTGTTAATTCTTTTTACATTTCCAGGGTGTCAGACCACAAAATGTTCTCTTCCAACATTCTCCACTTTTTCTTATGAACCTGCATGGCCCAGCCCCCATGTGGATCTGTGGCATGCCTATATAAAATGTATTATTCAGATTGGAAACATAGGGAATGATCAAAGAGGCCAAAGAAGTTATCTGGCCCAGTTATTATTAGTGCCGTATTCTGAACAGTGACCAGAGATACAGTAATGCCACAATATGCCACATGTAGCAAACTTTTCTGCCTTCTGTGCCTGCAGCCTTGCTGAATAATACTTAGATCATGGAGAAATTACAGAACTGTGTCAAGCAACTTGGATTCTGAGCATGATTCCACCCTGGCCTCAGAAAAGCACCTTATAAATGTGCTTCAGTTTCCTGCCTTGCAAAAATGAGAGGACATTAGTATGCATTTTCTATGGCTCTTATCAGCTCTACTATTCTTTATATTTACTAAGCAAGAGTTCAGAAATCAATGGTTTTGTTGGATATTTATTTTATTGAGTGTAAAAGTAATACATGCCTACTGCAGAAAATTTAGAATATGAAAAACATTGCAACTGTTGACCTAAAAGAAACTGAGGCCAAACATACAGGCATGGAGTTTTATTGAGCCACTGTGTTCACTGCAGCCAGGAAACACATAGATTAGATTTACCTGATAAATGTGCTCCAGAGAGGGCCAGCATTTTATAATCACAAAAACGGGAAGAGTTAAAGGAGTGAGAGAAGAGGACAGCTCCCTAATCACTACATCAGTTTTTCTCTTGGTCAGTACATATATATATATGACTTTGGATTGTGACTAGGTTGCATCCAAATGTAGGAATCTGAGGTTAAGGGTTACAGGGAGAATTGTACGTTATTTTATTATTTTTTCTGGTGCCTGCATATCTGGCTTCTTAAGTTAAAACAGTCTTATGATAGCATGTTCCGGGACATGCAGACATGACTGCTGGTTTATCCCAGATTTCCAAGGCACTATCATTTAGCTGACCGGGCCTGCTCAGAACACATGTTTTAGTTATCACAACAGTGGAATAAAAACCAGCTGTTATTCTATGATATATTTTCTTCAGGTATGTTTTGACATATATTTAAATTTATACTTGAATCATGCATATATAAGTTTTATATTCTGATTTTTCCACATAAGAGTAAATTCAAAACAATTTCTCATATCACAAGTACTCATAAAAATAACTATAAGATAGAAAAAATAAAACAACAAAAAAAGTATTCATAAGTACCTGAAGAAACTGTATTATATACTCCTATAGAGATACATCCATGGCCTTTCATTAAATATTGACATTTAGGATGGCTTTTGTTTTGTTTTCATTACTATGAAGACAGTATGATGAACGGATATTTTTATATGTCGATATCAGGCTGCTGTTTCTTATCTAGGTTTGACCCAGTTGTTTCCAAACTCACTTGACCATGGAATCTTTCTTGGGAGA